GTGCTAATGATCCAGTCAAGATGTCAGCCTCCAGGAAAGCTCATGTAGATGAACACTCCTGGAATGTGGGGGTGGTGGAAGCCATTTTGAGGAGCTCATTCTTCCAGGAGCACACTGGTGTTGGCAAAGATCATTTTGGAATCCTCTCTCTAGCTTATTAGTGCTGGGAATGGGCCCCACCCACCAGCCTGTGAGCACCCATGCTAGAATGCCTCAGATCAAGCAGCTAGGTGGGCAGAAACACAGCCCCACCCACAAATGGGCCAGGGATTAGGACCTCCTGACCACCCAGCACCCTGGGATCTGGACAACCCACCAGAGGGCCCAAGGCTGGCCCCACCTACTAGGGGGTTGACACAGCTCTGGGACGACTTGGGACCCTTAACCAGCTGCCCTGGGATCTGGCCCCACTTACTAGCAGGCCAACATCAGTTTTGGGACACGCTTAACCCCATAGCCAGCCATGTCAGGGACCAGCCCGGCTCACCAACAGGTTGACACTATCTGGTACCCTGGGCTCTGCAACCAGCACTAGCCCTGGGACCTCCGGGGCTCTGCGGTCAGCTGCCTCATATCTGTCCCTGCCCACCAGCAGCCTCTACACAGGGCAAGGCCTGGCAACAACCAACAGGACTGGGGATGAGCCATGCCTGCCCGACTGCACACAGTAGTCAGCTCACCACAACAGAAGAACATATACAGCCCACTTCAGGGGCACCCCTAGAGCATATAGCTCTGGTGACTAGAGCAGAGTGTGCTGCTGGATATTTATCTGAAGAAAACAAAAACACTAATTAGAAAATGTGTACCTTTATGTTTATTGTAGCATTATTTACTATTATTATTAGTAGCCAAGCAACCTAAGTGCCCATCAACAGATGAGTGGATAAATAAGATGTCACACACACACAAACACACAGAGGAATGTTAGTCAGTCATAAAAAAGATTGCAGTCTGCCATTTGCCATAACATGGATGGACCTAGAGGGTATTATGCTAAGTGAAATAAGTCTGACAGAATCAGATTGATATGTGGAATCTAAAAAACAAAACAAATGAACAAACATAACAAAGCAGAAACAGAGTTATTACAGAGAAGAAGCAAGTGTTTGCCAGAGGGGAGAGGATGGGAAGAAGAGAGAAATAAGTGAGGTAAATTAAGAGGTACAAACTTTCAGATGCAAAAGTCACGAGTATGAAGTGTACAGTGTGAGAAAAATAGTCAATAATTAGGTAGTATGCTGATGGATGGTCATGAGACTTACTGTGGTGATGACCTTGAAATGTTTAGAAATACTGAATCAGTGTGTTGTGTAACAGGAACTAATACAGTCTTGTAGGTCAATGATACTTCAAAAAGTAACTCAGAAAAGAGGTCAGATTTGTGGTTACCTGGACCCAGGGTATAGGGAGAGGGGGAATTGGATGAAGGCAATCAAAAGGTACATACTTCTGGTTTAAGATAAATGTGTACTAGAGATGTAATCTACAACATGTATAAATACAGTTAACATTGCTGTATGTTATATATAAAAGCTAAGAGAATAAATCCTAAGAGTTCTTGTCAGAAGGATAAATATTTTTTCTGTTTATTAAAAATTTCATAACTATATGAGGTGATGGATATTCACTAAACTTACCATGGTAATCATTTCATGACATATGAAGGTCAAATCATTATGCTGTACACCTTAAACTTTATAATATTTCAATAAAACTGGAAGGAAAAATAAGTATATGTTCCTTGGAGTTGTATCAAAAGCAAGACTAAATAGAGACTAATTGAAGTATTCATATACGCTGGTCTTCTATGAGTTAAATGTTTGGAAATCTGTTTTGGCTACTTTGATACCTTTTCTGCTTCCTTCATTTTCAAACAGTGCACTATAGGCTTATCAGATGAGTGTGATTATTGAGTAAGAAAGATCTTACTGAGCCAGTAACATGCTGATTTCTCATTTATCAACGAATGATTTATTCAGTAAGATGTATTTACTGAGGAGGTGAGAATATAAATAAATACATTTAAGAAAAGTTATCCCTGGTTCCTGTAATCAAAATTATTTTCTAATTGAGATAATTTTTGACAATGTATCTTATTTAACTACATCATCTGGAAATTGAGTTGGCTAGGAAAGTATTCCCTGAGTTAAATAGTATTATTATTAATTGACATGTTATAGTACTTTGCTTTTTCTAGTGTCAGAAGCAAGTTCTTATTAACTCAGAATTTTCTTCCATGATAAGAATAGCCAAATAAATATAGTAATTATGGATTCATTTGTTTGTGAATTGTCTTGACCTCTTTTCTCTGTTGCCCATCTTTTGGCTTTAATATCCTATCTCCACAGCACAGCTTTCTGCAGACTATTCCTTTGGGGCCAAAGCTTGGAGGAATTTATATCTGCCTAGTTTTAATACCAACTTAGGTACTTTCTAAGCTCAGAGTACCTTTTAAAATGCTTTTAAATTAAACTCAGATGCAAGTATTAAAGAAATCTTTATTTTAAACAGATGAATTAATTTAAAGTCCATTAAGTGGAAAATTTGCCAGTGTTTAATAGAAATTAACCTCAGGTCAAATTTCTAATCTAGTTTTGTTTTGTAACTAGGCCTTTTGAGAACTGTATAATTATATATAATAATACCAAGTTATCTACATTTATCAAACTTCCTTTATTTTTTGGGCACAAAAATAACAGCTATTATAGAAACAAGAAATATAAATGATTAAATTCGCAAAATAGGATAATTTTCTTTTGATTTATATTAACATCAATTTATTTTCTTTTGGAACAGATGATGAATAAGGTATTTGGAGGTACTGTGCACAAAAAAAGTGTTAGAGAAGATGGAGTCTTCAGTGTTAGTGTGGATAACACATGCTCGTTATTCAGGTATTACAGATATTTTTAGATAAATAAGAATGTTAGTAGATTAACTAACTTAAAGCTGGGAATGTTATTCTTCAAAATTGGAGATTCTGTAGTTCTGAGACAAAATTAAGGCTACAGTAGTGGCCAAAGGTGTTAATTGTCATATTTGTCTTCCAATTGAGTGTCAAGATGGCAGAGGATGGTGATACTAATAAGGAATAAGAAAAGCACTTAATGACATAATTTAAAAGCACTACTTTATTGGACCCCCATTTGGGATTACGTATTGTGATGCCAGCATTTGTAGTTTTTCCCTTTTCACTCCTGTGAATTGTGGTTCTAAACATTACAGTGACACATGTGGCAGCTGGAAGTTAAACTGTCCTGCATTTGTGTACCTCTGCCTCTGTTCCGTGTTCTTGCTCTCGGTACTTAGCAAGGTACCCATTTGCTGGACTCATTACTAAACATGTGTTTTATTTCTCTCTTCTTCACTTTCTCTACTGTATCTGAGCATAACTGTACCTGATATATTCTCTTTTAAATACAGCAAATGCATTAATTGCTTTTATTGCTAGGTGATAATCGATTAGGTGTAGTAGCTTTAATATATTTAAAAATTATTGAATGAGCTGTTCACTAGCTTCCTTACAGTCATTTATTTTCTTTACTTAAAAAAATAAAAAGGCTGAGTTTTCATTCAGTTTTCTCAAAGACTAGAAAACTTAAGCTTTGATCACTTGCTTTCCTTTTCTGGGTTTTCCCATGTTTTGAGTATTGCCCATTTAGGTGTACTGGTGTATTGGTGGAGTTACTTTTTTTTTAACCTAAATTTCATTTTTATTTAAAAATCACATTTCCCCCTAACTGCATTAAATCTGTAAAATGCAGGCTGATGTCAACGACTGAGCACATGTAGTTTTTATTTTCATTTCTTATAGCTGTGCTAATTATTATTAGTTACAGATTTGTTTATTTACAGATATTCTTAAGGCTCTATTGAGTTGTGCCTAAGTTAATTTTTTAGTGAATAGTTTTCTCCAAATTAGACAGATCAGAAATTTTAAAATCCAAGTTAAGAATTTGTTTTTATTTGAAATGGAGATATGATCCCAGTTTTTACACAAAATTGGCTGCGGCTGGCTCTTCTTCAGTATTAGGAGCAAAGATAAGAGTATCTGTGTTCAAAGATTCTCATTTTTCAAAGGAATATTAGTAAAAAAGCAAAAGTTGCTCAAAGTAATTTTATGAACTGAAGCTACTCATTCCCAAAATACATTTTGATATCCGATGCTTTTTCTACTTCATAATGGAGAAGTGTTGCTTGCATTCAGCTGTATTTCAAGTGTATTTCTTTGAGAACTGCTTCAGGAATCTTGCTGGTGGTATGTGATACTGCAAGAGGCTTTAAATGTAAAGATCTGGCTAAGATTTAAAGTTTTTCTGTGTTTCTAATTGTAAAATTCTGATACTCAGTTACAACCTACACTAATAATCCTTCCTAACAATGGTAATGATAATAACCACCCCAAAATATCCTTTTGTCTTTAATGTACTTTATCTTCTTGTTTTATTTTTAATTTTTTATTTCTTAATCTTATTTGATACCAAGTTCTTGTTCAGACTTTTTCATAATGTAGAAAATATCTTTTTATGGTTGATTGGTTTGAATCTGAGTCCAAAGAAAGTTCACGCAGTTGCATTTGATGTTATTTACATCCGTTTTAAACTATGCCATTAATGATGGCTGTTCTTAAGATAAATCCCAACAGAGATAGAATTTTGAAATTATTAATTTTATGGCCTCTTGAAACTTTTTCTATGTGTATGGTTATACCACCAACTTTATATGTTTCAGTTTTCAGTTTTTATGGATTGCCTTTTTTTGAGATTTCATGTTATTATGGGTTTTATAATGGACAGAATAAACAAATTCTATCAGTGTTGCACTCTTACATACTTTTTCTATTTTCTTGATTTATACATAGAACAAGCTAGTATTTCTAAAGCCCGAAACTTCTAATTATAAGAAGAATAAGTTCTAGGAATCTAATGTACAGTGTATTGGCTACAGTTAACAATACTGTATTGTACACTTGAAAGTTGCTAAGAGAGTAGATCTTAAATGTTCCCACCACACACAAAAAAATGCTAACTATGTGAGGTGGTGGATGTGTTAACTAACCTTTATTGTGGTAATCATTTTACATTATGTATATCAAATCATCACTTTGCATATTTACATAATGTTATATGTCATTTATATCTCAATAAAGCTAGAAACAAAGCAAAATATTCCATTAATCTTTTCTTATAATTAAGCTATTTGTGTATTATGTTTTATTTTTTATGTATTTAGGGGCCTTCAGAAGGAAGAAATTGTTTTGCTTACCCATGGAGATAGTGTAGACAAAGTAGCTGATGGATTCAAGGTTGTGGCACGTTCTGGGAACATTGTGGCAGGTGAAAATTCTAAAACTTTTGCAGATTTAATTTTTAAAAGTTTATCTGAAGAGTCTAAGCATATGTTTCTGTACGAGGTACAGTTTTTGATGTTTCTTATTTTGTAAAGATACTGTAAATGTCATGAGGTCAACCATTAATTTATAAAAGGTATTTATTTAATATATTAGAAGGATTATTTAGAAGTCACTAGTTTGCTATGAAATACTTCTAAAAATGTTTATTCTGATATGTTTTTCAGATATAAAATACAGCTATTACAACTCAGGCAAAATTTGAGAACTGTCTTTCTAGCATGCTATATTCATAATTCCCTCCCCCCCCCTTTAATGACTTTCTTAGGTATATATAGGCATGTATATACCAGACTAAGCATTCAGGACATTTCTCTGAATCAGGATTGGCAGACTGTTTGTTACCTGTGAGTCAGATCTATCTGTAGTCTGTTTTTGTTTATTTCCAGGAACTAAGAATGATTTTTACATTATTAAAAGGTAGTAATAAAAGACAGGGGCTTGTATGTATGTGTCCCACCAAGCTTAAAATTTATACTATCTGGCCCTTTGTAGGAAGTTTGCCAACTCATGTTCTAAACCATTTTTTGTTCTCTTTTTTTTTTTTTTTGAGGAAAAGGAGTTGATTTTCTGACAGTTTCTGAGTTTTCCCTTGCTTGCTTGAATAATTGTAACATAAATAATCACCAGTAATCCTGGATATCAATAAAATAAAAAAAGTGAGTTTATCAGTGAAGTTCTTGTTTGAAATGCCACACCTGAAAAATTGGAAAAAAGATTTGTGGATAAATTGAATTGAGTAATTTGCTTCCAATTCAATGACAGACTAATATATTAGCATCAGAATTATCAGGAATGGTTTTCATATTGTCAGGTTTTAATTTCATATGAAAGATCAAAAGTGGTAGATAGGTTTATTTATTTTTATTCACTCAGCAAATATTTGTGTACCCACACATGCCAGGCAAAGTTCCGGGTGCCAATGAACAAAATGGACAAAAATCTCTGTTTAATGTGCTAGTTGGTGAGGTCAGGGGTGGGTTATGGATGGGTCTGACAGTACACAGATAAATGCAGAATGTCAGATGTTAGACAATGTTGAAGTTCATTGAAAAAACAGAAGAGAGGAGTGTTGTGAAATGTATGATTAGGGTTGAGTTACTCTTTTGTATGGGATATTCTGAGAAGGTGTTTCTATTAGATGATATTGGACACGGAGGAAGTAAGTGCTGACCTCTCTGGATATTTGGGGAAAGAGTATATGGCAGTACAAAGCTCCTGGAATGGGACCATGTTTGAGGAGCAGCAAGGAGACCATGTGGTTAGAGCAGAGTAAGCATAGGGGAGTGTGGTAGTTGAGGTCAGAGAGGTTTTGAAAGTCAGAACACGACCTTTGAGGCCATTGTGAAAATGTTGGCTTTACTCATAGTAAGGTGGAGTTTTGAACAAAGGAGGGAGAGACATGATCTAATTTCAGGATTACCCTGGTTATAGTGAGGAAAAAAGAGACAGAGTTAAATGTAGAGACAGAGAGACCAGCTAGATGTCTATTATATATTACAGTAATCAGGAAAGGAGACTATGTGCAAGGAACAGGGTGGTGGAGGTGCAAGTGCTCAGAGGTGATTGAATTCTCATACAGATGTTTTACATATTTTGTTAGATTTATACCTAAGTTTTTCATTTTGGGGGGAGGTACTAATATTAATTGAATTGTATTTTTTAAATTCCACTTGTTCATTGCTGGTACATGGGAAAGCTGTGAACTTTTATGTAATTGTAATCACTTACTGATTCCAAGTGTTTTTGGTTGATTTTTTCAAATTTTATATGTAGACGATCATGTCATCTGTGAACAAAGTCTGTTTTATTTCTTTTTTCCCATTCTGTATATCTTTCATTTCCTTTTCTCCTATTGTATTAGCTAGGACTTCTAGTATGTTGAAAAGCGGTGGTGAGAGGGAACATACTTGCTTTGTTTTTGATCTTAGTGGGAAAGTTTTGAGTTTCTCGTGGTTAGGTATGATGTTAGCTGTAGGTTTTTTAAAAGATACTTTTCATCTAGTTGGAGAAGTTCCCCTCTATTCCTAATCTATGGAGAGTTTTTAATCATTAGTGGGTGTTTGGATATTTTTCAGATGCTTTTTCTGCATCTGTTGATATGATCATGTAATGTTTCTTTTAGCCTATTGATGTGATGGATTACATTAACTGATTTTTGAATGTTGAGCTAGCCTTGCTGGGATAAATCCTGCTTGGTCATGGTGTATAATTCTTTTTATACGTTGTTTCATTTTTGGGGAGGATTTTTACATCTGTGTTTATGAAAGATATTGGTGTTTAGTTTTCTTTTTTTTGTAATACAGTAATGGATTCATCTCTTCTTTGAGAATGGATGACTCCTTTGTATTTACATATATATGTATATATGCCTTTCTTTATTCTTGATAACTTTTCTTGGCTGAAGTCTCCTCTGATATTAATATTGCTACTCATGCTATCTTATAATTAGTGTTACCATGATAATACCTTTTTCTGTCTATTGTCTTTTAATCTGTATGTGTCCTTATATTTAACGTGCATTTCTCGTAGACAGTACATATTTAGGTTTTGCTTCTTGATCCACGGTAACAATCTCTGTATTTTATTGGTGCATTTAGACCATTGGTGTTGAAAGTGATTGTTGATAAGATTGGATTAATATCTTTCTTATCTGTTACTGTCTTATATTTGTTACTTTTGTTCTCTGTTCCTGTTTTGTTTTTCTGTTCTTTTTCTGCCTTTTATGGTTTTAATTGAGCATTTTGTATGATTCCATTTTCTTTTTTCATAACATGTAAGTTATACTTCTTTTTTTTTTTTTACTTTTCTCAGAAAAAGTTGCCCTAGATTTCACAATATACATTTACAACTAACCCAGGTTCACTTTCAAATAACGTTACACCACTTTACAGGTAGTGTACCTTATAATAACAAAATAAAACTCATTCTTCCCTCTTATCCCCTTTACATTGCTGTCATTCATGTCACTTAGAAGTAAGCATGAATAAGATTATCTGTATATGTAAGCATACATAACTATACATTGTTGCTATTATTTCGAATGAACTTATCTGTTAAATCAATTAGGAAGGAAAAGGTTTTATTTTGCCTACATTCCTTTTTTGATGTTCCTTTTTTTAGGTAGATCCAAGTTTTTGATCTTTATCATTTTCCTTCTCTCTAAAGAACTTCTTTTAACATTTCTTGCAAGACAGTCTACTGGCAACAAATTGCCTCAGTTTTTGTTCGAGAAAATCTTTTATTTTTCCAGTACTTTTGAAGGATAATGTCTCAGGGCACAGACTTCTAGGTTGGTGGTGTTTTTTCTCCTAACATTTAAAAAAAATTTAACTTTTCCTGCTTTATTGAGTTATAATTGACAAAATTATAAGATATTTAAAGTGTACAGTGTGATGATTTGATGTACATACACATTGTGAAAGGATTTTCCCCCGCTGAGTTAATCTAACCCATCCATCACATCACATACGGCTGATCCTTACACAGCACAGGCTTTTACTGTGTGGGTCAATTTATATGTGGATTTTTTTCACTAAATCACAGTACTGTGTGATCTGTGGTTGGTTGAAATTGTGGGTACAGAAGACCAACAGTAAAGTTGTATGTAGGTTTTTGTTTGCACTAATGGTAGGGACCCCTAAGCCCCACATTTTTCATTTTTCAAGGGTCAATTGTATTTCCTTTTCTTTTTCTTTCTTTCTTTTTTTTTTGGTGAGAACATTTAAGTTCTACTGGCTTAGCAAGTTTTCATCATGTAATACAGTGTTATCAGCTATAGTCACCATATTATACATTAGATCCTCAGACTTTATTTATCTTCTGAGAGTTTGTACCCTTTTACCAACCTCTTTGTATTCACTCCATCCCCCAACCCCTGGCTGCCACTTTTCCACTTTCTATTTAGAATTCAGCTTTTTTTTTTTTAAAGATTCTACTAAGTGATATCATGCATTGTTTGTCTTTCTCTGTCTGGCTTACTTAGTTTATAGCTCTCTAGGTTCATACATGTTGTTGCAAATGACAGGATTTCCTTTTTTGAGGCTGTGTACTATTCCAGAGAGAGTGTGTTTGTATTCTGTCTGTCTGTCTATCACATTTTCTTTATCCATTCATCTGTCAGTGAACACTTAGTATGTTTCTACATCTTGGCTATTGTGAATAATGCTGCAGTGAACATACAGATATTTCTTTGAGATTTGGCTTTATTTCCTTTGGATATATATCTAGTAGTGGGGTTGTTGGATCATATGGTAGTTCTATTTTTAATTTTTGGTGGAATCTCCATATTGTTTTTCATAGTGGCTCTGCCAGTTTACAGTATACATTTCTACCAACAGTCTACAAGGATTCACTTTCCTCCATATCTTTGCCAGCATTTGGTATGTTGTCTTTTTTATAATAGACATCCTAACAGGTGTGAGGTGATACGTCATTGTGGGCTTGGTTTGCATTTCCTTGATGATTAGTGGTGTTGAGGACCTTTTTATGTACCTGTTGGCCATTTGTAGGTCTTCTTTGGAAAAACGTCTATTCAGGTCCTTTGCCCACTTTTTATTTGGGTTATTTGGGTTTTTTTTTGCTATTGAATTGTGTGGGTTCTTTGTATGTTTTAGGTATTAACTTCTTATTGGATAGTTTGCAAATATTTTCTCTCATTTCATAGGTTGTATTTTTGTTTTGTTGATAGTTTTTGCTGTGCAGATTTTTAGTTTGAGGTGGTCCGATTTGTTTATATTTGCTTTTGTTGCCTTTTCTTTTGGTGTCAAATCCAAAAAACCATTACCAAGGTCATTGTCAAGGAACTTTGCCCCTATGTTTTTTTCTAGGAATTTTATGATTTCAGATTTCATATTAAAGTCTGCGATCCATTTTGAATTGAATTTTGTGTATGGTTTAAGACAGAGATCCAGTTTCATTCTGTTGCATGTGGCTATCCAGTTTTCCCAACACCATTTATTGAAGGGACTATCCTTTGCTCATTATATATTCTTGGCTCCTTTGTCATAAATTGACTGTATGTCTGTGGGTTTATTTTTGGGCCTTTGATTCTGTTCCATAGGTCTGTGTGTCTGTTTTTATCCCAATACCATACTGTTTTGATGACGCAACCTTTGTAGTATACTTTGAAATGTGTTGCTTCCAGATTTATTATTCTTTCTCAAGATTGATTTAGCTGTTTGGGATCTTTCGTGATTCTATACACATTTTGGGATTGTTTTTTCTATTGTGAAAAAAGCCATTGGAATTTGGATAGAGATCGAATTGAATCTGTAGATTACTTTGGATAGAATTGATATTTTAACAATATTAATTCTAATCCTTGGACATGAAATATCTTTTTATTTATGCGTCCAGTTTCTTTCATCAAGGTATTAGAGTGTTCAGTGTACCAATTTTTCTCCTTTTTGGTTAAATTTATTCCTATTTTATTCTTTTTGATTTTGTTGATGAGAATGTTTTCTTATTTCTCCTTCTGATAGTTTATTGTTGGTGCATACACAGTTGATTTCTATATGTTGATTTTTCTATCCTGCAACTTTGCTAAAATAATTTATTAGTAATAATAGTGTTTTGGTGGAGTCTTTAGGGTTTTCTAGATATAATGTCTCGTCATCTGCAAATAGAGACAAATAGACAGTTTTACTTCTTCATTTCCAGTTTGGATCACTTTTATTTCTTTTCCATAACTAATTGGTCTGGGTAGGATTTCCAGTACTATGTTGAATGAAAGTGACCAGAGTGGGCATCCTTGTCTTGTTCCTGATCTTAGAGGAAAGGCTTTTCACCATTGAGTGTGATGTTAATTGTGGGCTTGTTGTATATGGCCTTCATTATGTTGAGGTACATTCCTTCTGTCTCCAGTTTGTTGAGAGTTTGTGTCACGTATCGGTGTTGAATTTTATCTGTTGCTTTTTCTGCATCTGTTGAAATGACCATATTATTTTTATCCTTCATTTTGTTAATGTGGTGTATCACTTGATTGGCCGATGTTGAACCATCTCTGCATCCCTGGAATAAATCCCACTTGATTATGGCTTGTGATCCTTTTAATATATTGTATTTGGTTTGCTAATACTTTGTTGAGGACTTTTTACAACTATGTTTATCAGAGATAATTGGCCTGTGATTTTCTTTTCTTGTCGTCTTTTCTTGTCTGGCTTTGATATCAGAGTATTGCTTGCCTCATAGAATGAGTTTGGGCGTGTTCTTGTCTTTCGTATTTTTTTGGAAGAGTTGGATAAGAGTTGGTATTATTTCTTTAAATGTTTGGTAGAATTCACTGGTGAAGCCATCTGGTCCTGCCAGTTTCGGGGAGGTGTTTGATTATTGATTCTTTTATGTTTTGAAGGCAGAGGCAAAGGATCTGCTGTTGGATTGCATGTGGAGTGGGAAAGAGAGAGTAGACAGTTGAGTTTTAACTTCCAAATTTCTCAGCCTAAGTAACCAGAAGGATGGAGTTTCTGTTTACCTGATGGGAGGGAATGCAGGAGTTTGAGCTAGCTTATTAAGTTCTAGATGCCTTATTGAACATTGAAATGAAGGTATGAATAGGCAGTTGTATATTTGAGTGAAGACAGTAGAAGAGAAAACTGGGCTGGAGAAATAAATTCGGGGGTATACCAACATATGGACAGTATTTAAGGTCATGAGAGTTTGGGATCACTCAAAGTGTTTAGAGAAGAGATATAAGGGCTGAGTACTTGGTGACTTTCATGTGTAGAGATGGATAAGATGAAGAGCCAGCAAAGAAGATTCAGAAGGAATAAGAAATGAACCAAGAGAGTGGTGTCCTAGAAGCTGAGTAAAGAAAGTGTGAGGTTCCCTGATAGAGTACAATGAGTATAAGTTTGGGAGTCTGGCAGGCCTGATTTTACTACTTAACTAGCTGGGAATTCAGGCAAGTTTCTTGATATCTCAGAGACATAAACAGGGGTAATACGTGTGTATGTAAAACATCTAGCCTAACACCTGCTGCTTTATAGATAATAATTTTTCAGAAACATTAATCAAGTCCCTGAAGTTATATTTGTGGTTAATAATATCTGAGGAAGAAACACACTAGATTATTCTGATAGGTTTAATGTCTCAGGATCTTATAATATAGAAAATTGGTAGCTGCACATTGCATGTGAGAAGCATATGGGACTGAGAACCAAAATTGAGTATCAGTGCATTAAATAGACAAGACACTTGCAGTAACCTGGGTGGAGAAGTGAGGGGGCTATGAAATAATCTCTGTAGAACTTTTCTTACTGTCATATATATATTGTTCATTAATTACTACGTAAAGAAAGACTTTTATAAAGATAGATCATGACAATGTAGACTTTCTTTGTATTGTGTTTTTTTCCCCTTATAGCTAAAAGTCCACTAATTTGTGTCAGTTTTCACATTTATAGGGGAAGAAATTGTGAGGAATTATTGTGGGTACTGGCTGAGTCCTTTCACACTTGATCTTAGCCAAAAGGCCGAGAAGTGATGGCTGAGTCCTTTCAATGCGAAAAAGATTAATTTGTTATTTTTCCCTATAAAGGTATAGCAAATGAGTCTAAAAAATTATATGGAGCACAGTTCCACCCTGAAGTTGGCCTTACAGAAAATGGGAAAGTAATACTGAAGAATTTCCTCTACGATATAGCTGGGTGCAGTGGGACCTTCACTGTGCAGAACAGAGAACTTGAGTGCATTCGAGAGATCAAAGAGAGAGTGGGCACATCAAAAGTTTTGGTAAGCAATTTACACCTGTAAGTCTAAATTTTTGTCAGTAATGTTGGAACTCAGAATTGGCTTCCTCAACATAGCCCTTAAATGTTGGCTGCGTGATCATGTGCTTTGTGAGTTGCACTCTTTCAGGGCGCTTTTCCAGTTACCATACCTACCTTTGATAACAGTGTATTTTAGGTAGTGATTTAAGATGATAGCTTTTGTCATCTTTTTCCTTATTCTGCTCAGTTTTTCTTTTCATTTCACCTTTTAGGTTTTACTCAGTGGTGGAGTAGACTCAACAGTTTGTACAGCTTTGTTGAATCGTGCTTTGAACCAAGATCAGGTCATTGCTGTGCACATTGATAATGGATTTATGAGAAAACGAGAAAGTCAGTCTGTAGAAGAGGCCCTCAAAAAGCTTGGAATTCAAGTGAAAGGTATTGATGAACTCCAGAAAAGTTAGTTTACATGTCAGGGCTTATTAAATCAAATCTAGCCTATGGTTTAAGTAAGTGCATTACCTTAACCAAGTACAGTTTTCCCAATAAGCTCATGGTTGAAAATGTTTCTTAATTTTACATTACAATTCTGGTTCAAGAGGGGTTCCAGTGTAAATTTTAAAACTGTTGATTACTCCTAATGTTTTATATAGATCAACAAGTTATCATTTTCTAGCTACCATTCTGTTCTTTCTATTCATTCTTTTTTAAATTATCTTTTCCCACCCATAATATCTGTGCATGAGAATATCCAGGCTTTCCTGTTACTGATACAGATGTACAGATTATTTTACAGATAAAAGAGCTTATATAGAGAAAAGGAGTGAAGCGTCTGTAAGTCACTTTTTTTAGGGCCACTAGTAAACTTTTTAAGCCTTAACTGCATTTACATTTGTGGATATCTTGTATACTTTTTAAAGACAAGATATAATCAATAGAGTGAAATTAAGTCAATAGTTTAATGATATAAACTACATATTATTGATTTAATTGGAATTGTTGCTAAAAGATGTGAATATAAAATGAAGACAGAGTTAAAAATGAAGTAAAGATGAATCTGTTTCTTTTCCCCTTTTGAAACTTCACAAAAATAACAGTATAGGCATTAAAACAAGTGTAATGCCACAAGGATAAGGAATAGAGAGGAGGTGATAGCAGTCTAATGGTTTCAACAAAATGTTGGAAGGTGGAAAGTAGACGGATAATGCAGATTTTCTCTGATAAGCTAATGAAACTTAAATTTCAGGACCCTCATTAGCGAAGCCTTTTCTAAAACCTGGGGAAAGACCCTAGTAGTGTCCTTCGCGTGGTCATAAATTGTATGAAATTCGCAAGTAAGATATTTTAATAATTTGTAATTAATTTAGTTTACTGAATCTTTCCATCTAACTTGCTTTCTTTTGGGTGTTTTGGGGTGTAGGCATTTTGAGATTAGGCAGGGAAAAGTTGAGTTGGGGGTACACTTAGTTGGGGTTTAGTGCTATATATGCAATGTGCAATTGTTTCTGTATATAGTTTGTGTTAGCTATCCTAGTCTTAACTTGTGATTTAAAAAATGCATCTCTTGTTAATTCTTTTTCTTGAAGGAAGCCTCCGAATTGTAAACATTTCAGCCCCACGAAAACCTGCATCTGTCCCTGTTAACTGACATAGGAGAAAGGAGGACTTTACAACCTTGGTGTGGGGAGTAAGGGAAGGAAGCCAACAAAAAGCAACACTTCTGGGGAAGCTCAGGAGTTGGAACATTGGCTTCCCTGTTGGGCCTGGCTCACTGAGTCATTTTAAAACTGATTTGTTAAAAATCTGAGAGCAGATCTTTTTCCTTAAAACGGGAACACACTGCTGCTATCCCTTCTCATCAAGAGAGGCTAAACAAGAGAAACTTTGGACTTGGGCATATCAATTCCAGACAGAGTTGAGGGTGGAAGTAATATTCTACATTAAAAACAGTAAAATTAAGTAAAAATTTCCTGGTATCTCCCTCCTCCCACAACTTCCTCTGTTCAACTACCAAAATGCTGATAGGCAGGAAACTGGAGATATCTTCTCTGGGATAATTGACCAGCTTAAGAGAAAGACCTACAAATTCACTGGTGGTCCCGAGTGAAGTAGCCAGCTGCCTTGGCATCTTACAGCGAAGCCCAGCAGTTGTTCAGCTTTATTACCAAATAGAGATTTTAGTTAGTTTATTTAAATATTTCACTCTTAAATATAAAAGGACAGCCAAGGATCGCTGAATATATATTCATAGACATCAAGTTTTTAAGAGACTTGGTCAGTATGAAATTCTGAGAACTCTGATCCCTGTATATCTGCTACTGCTTTAATTCCTTTGGGGCTGTGCTTCTTGCTGGGGCTTTTGCTGTTGCTCTGGTGAAACACTGAATAGAGGGAAAGCAATTAGCATAATTTGTGATATTATGGGCCAAGATCATTAAATGCGACAGGATTCTCAAAAGAATAAAATTTAATGAGTGCCTGTGTGTGGACTCATGGTTTATTGGTGGTTCTGAAATATGTAGGCAAACTAAAGGGAGATCAGAGGATCTGTCTAGGTTTTCTTTTTGTAGTTTGACCTATTATTTATGATTTAAAACAATCTTCTATGAGTTTAAAACATACTTCTCCCCTCTTCCCCAGTGATAAATGCTGCTCATTCTTTTTATAATGGAACAACAACTCTACCAATATCAGATGAAGACAGAACTCCACGAAAAAGAATAAGCAAAACATTAAATATGACTACGAGTCCTGAGGAGAAAAGAAAAATCATTGGGGATACTTTTGTTAAGGTACCTTTTTAACATCCTCAACGTGTACTATTTTTGATGTGAATTTTAGTATTTTTTTCTTGTCATTATACCAGATAATCACATTTTCTGGCTAATGTTAATTCCTTTGTTAGCTAAGAGTTTTACTGTGTATTGCTATTCTACTGAGCAGTAGAAAGCATTTTATGTTTTAAAAAACGAATGTACTTGCTTTGTCAGGCTATTGGTTTAATTGTTTAAGGATAGGTGTTTTCACTTGCTATTGTATTTTAGTTCTTTGGGTATTTCAGTGGCTAGATTTTTTTTTTAGGCTTTTGATGGGAATATTGGCATACCTTTTTGAATCATGTCAAGGATATGTTCTAAAGGAGTTTATTTTGGGGGCTGGTGGATTTCATCTGCTGGTCAGTATTGCAAAAGGACTGTTGAAAAATTTAGCTGAAAGTATAAACTTTTGTTGTCTTTTAGAAAAAATTCACTTCTTAAAAGGCTGTTTACTCCTGTTGATTATAGATTGCCAATGAAGTAATAGGAGAAATGAACCTGAAACCAGAGGAGGTTTTCCTTGCCCAAGGTACTTTACGGCCTGATCTAATTGAAAGTGCATCCCTTGTTGCAAGTGGCAAAGCTGAACTCATCAAAACCCATCACAACGACACAGAGCTTATCAGAAAGTTGAGAGAGGAGGTAAGAGCTTATGAGAACTTGTGCCATAAATCCTCCCTCCCTTCCCCGTTCCCTTAATCATTTTTTAAGTGTACACTTCAGTAATGTTAAGCATATTTGTATTGTGAAACAGATCTCCACAACTTTTCCGTCTTCCCAAACTGAAACTATATACCTGTTGAACAACAGCTACCCTTTTCTCCTTCTCCCTAACCCAGTAACCTACCACTTTACTTTGTTTCAGTGAATTTGACTACTTTGGATACCTCATATAAGTGAAATCAATGTTTGTCTTTTTGTGACTGGCTTATTTCACTTAGTATAATAGATCCTCAAGATTCTTCCATGTTGTAGCCTGTGACAGGATTTCCTTCCTTTTTTAACTGAATAATATTCTATTGTATGTATATACATATTTTGTTCATTTATCTATCGATGCACATTTGGTTTGTTTCCACTTTCTGGCTGTTATGAATTGTGCTGCTATAAACATGGGTTTGCAAATATCTCTTGGAGCCCCTGCTTTCAGTTTCTTGGATATATACCAAGAAGTGGGATTTCTGAATCTTACAGTAGTTCTATTTTTAATTTTTTGAGCAACCTCCTTAAATGTTTTCATAACAGTTACACCATATTACAGTCCCACCAAACAATGCATAGAGCTTCCACTTTCTCTACAGCATGCCCAACACTTGTTATTTTCTGCTTGGTTTTTGTTTTCGTTTTGAGAGTAGCCATTCTAAGGGTTGAGGATTATCTGTCCCTTTTTATTTTGGGCATCCTAGTGGATGAGAAGTGGTATCTCATTGTGGTTTTGATTTACATTTCCCTAGTAGCTAATAATGTCACTCATCTTTATGTGCTTATTGGTCATTTGTGTATCTTCTGTGGAGAAATACCTATTCAGATTTTTTGCCTATTTTTAAATTGGCTTATTTATCATTTTATTATTGATTCGTGTTTTTTGTATAATCTGGTTACACATCCTTTATTAGATACATGATTTGCCTTCTGTGGATTGTCTTCACTTATTCATGGTATCATTTGGTGAGTTTTTTAAGCACTAGCACAGTATTTTCTGATTGCCTTGTTTTCAGATGAGAACTAGATCAGAGTTGAGTCGGTTTGTTTGCTCTGATTTATTTCTATTTAAGAGGTTTATGTTTAAAATGTGTTTCAAAGAGAAATATGAAGATCACTAAACTATTCATCTAACTCTTTATAAGCATATAGGAGGAAATACTTTAAAAGGTCGAGTTTTGAAAAATGATTTTTTAAGGTAAAAGACAACAGGAAAAGCCAGTAATTACTTTTTGTTTTCCATGTCATTTTGGTTACTACTTTGTATTAATTGGCCTTTTTCTTCTTTGTAGGGAAAAGTAATAGAACCTCTGAAAGATTTTCATAAAGATGAAGTAAGAATTTTAGGCAGAGAACTTGGACTTCCAGAAGAGTTAGTTTCCAGGCATCCGTTTCCAGGTGAAAAAAACAGAACTGAGTTCTGTTTGATTTGTTATTAGGCCTTAATGTTGAAGAAAAATCAACTCAGACAGTTTTTGAAGTAATTTATCATCTTAGGACATATGTAACTTGAGAGAAAGGAAAGGATGGGTAGGGAATAAACATTCTTTATAGTGCCTACTGTATATATTTCATTTTTTTATTAAATACTCATCTAACCATTTTTGTATAGATTGGCATGTAATGTTGCCATCAGATGAGAAAGCCAAGAAATAGAGATATTTTAATAACACTGCTACACAACTCTTAGTGTTAGAGCTGGGATTTTTATGTTCCTTCTACTGTACTAGGACATATTCCATGGAAGATGGGGTTAAAACTTGGTTCTCTGAAATCCCTTATCCCATGGCTGACTTGTCTGCATGGAGGAACGATTTTTTTGAACAGTGCTTTATGTAACTAATTCATGAACAAATAAAAATAGTCAGTTTTTAAAATACTTTGCTGTATAAAAAAATAGATAATTAGAGGTGATATTTGTTGAAAGTTAGAATTGAGAGTCTTAAACATATTTTTGTTATGAGTTCTTGAGCTTGGACAAGTCTTACACTTCAGTTTCTAGGCCTCTACATAGTCATTAGGTGATGAATTGAGAGAATGGTCTAATTAAATTAAAAAAACATAATAATAGTTAACATTTCTTGCATACTAACATGTTCTAGGCATTCTGCTGAGTATTTTACACACATTGTCTTATTTGATCCTCACAATAGAATCTGTTTTGCAGATGAGGAAATTTAGGGACAGAGGACAGTTTGCCAAGGGTTATGCAGGTTGGGTTTAGAAACAGGATTCTAGTCCCAAAAATCTCACCTCAGAGCTTGTTACTCCTAGCTACTGTATTATCTCCATGAACAATGTCACAAAGGTATAACCCATGTTGGTATTAGCACTTGTTTACATTATTAACTTAAACTCTAGTAATTTAAGATTCTCAGTCCCTAACATGTATGTTGGCAAAGGATTATGTATATAAGTAATTTTAAACAGATTGACATACATATTGTGAATTAAAAATATTTATTGGAGAATTCTGTGACACTATCATACATGAACTTTCAAGATAGGAGACAGAAATCATTGATTTAAAGAGAATTGAAGCATTCTTAAAAAATGAAGTGTTGGATGGGAAAGTAATAGCTACATTTGAAATTAAACACTTGAAAAAACCTACACTGTATATGTCAATTATATTTCAATAAGATTGGTAAAAAATATAATATAAAAATATATTTTGGGAATAGTGACTTTAAGTCAGTTTTTTGTATTTAACATAACCTTTAAATTAAATACCACTGTTAACTGTTCTCTATAGGTCCTGGCCTGGCAATCAGAGTAATATGTGCTGAAGAACCTTATATTTGTAAGGATTTTCCTGAAACCAACAATATTTTGAAAATAGTAGCTGATTTTTCTGCAAGTGTTAAAAAGGTAGTAATTTACATTGAATATGTATATTATAGGAACTTTAAACAGACACAGATAATCAGTACAAGGAATTGAATGGATTCTTGTTTTACTCCAGTTTTTATAGTGAAGTGATTAGGGTTTCATTGTTTGAAATTTCTAAGTAATTTAATCTTTGAAATGACTATGAAGAAAGTATTCTACAGAGATTCTTAAATGCAGTCTTCTCTTTCAAGCCATTCCATATATTTTAACAGATACCTTTAATCGCTAAAAATGCTAGATATAAAGTATTTTAAAACACCTTTTCATACGTATTGCAAGCAAGTAAGGGAAATCATTTTAGTTCTAAATTGAGGATGATGGAAAAGTCTCCAGTTCTTTATATATTTGGTGCCTAAATTTATTATCTGTGTTAAACTTTGGTTGGTAGTGCTTCCAGGTGTCAGGCAAGAAGCAGTGTAAATTCTCTTTGGAATATCTTCAACTAGGTCTCAAAGAATTCCTGTAGATAGAGTTCCAACAAATATGAGCTTACAATAAAAAACTATAAAATATGTATAAAAGGTAAGGCACCATGAATGAGAGCTAGTGGGAACAACTAGCAGAAGACCCTCAAGCACTTCAGGTACTGGAATTAGCAGACTGACAATGTGTAAAGTACATAGAATTAAAAGAAGCTATTGATATAAGATTAAAGTGTATGATAAGAGACTAAAAAAAATGGCTGGGGTGCTTTGGAAAAAAAAATTAAGTTCTAGAAATAACTGGAATTAAAAAGAGCTAATGAAAGAATTAGTGAACTTGAAGACAGATGTTAAATTATCTGGAAATTGGAACAAAGCATCAAAGAGAAAATATGGTTAGAAGAGGTTAAGAGAGAATGAGAATGTCAACTTTAATGTATGTGTAGAAGGAGATAATAGACAAAAGTATTTTAATTCTTCCACATTGGTGAAAGCACCGTGCCTCAGATTCAGGAAACATAATAACATCCCAACCAGGATAAAGGAAAAGAATTTGGCATCCATTAGGCTTACCTGTGGAAACTGCAGAATGTGAAAGACAAAGCAGCTGCAGAAAAAAGATTGATTTCCACATAAAGGAAAGACTATTACTGAAAGCAACAGTAAAAGCAGAAAGACTTCAGAGTGCCAGAGAAAATAATTATGAATAATAGTGAACAGATAAACTGTCTCAAAGAACTAGGGCAAAATAAGGACATTTTCAGATAAACAGAATTTATTACGAGCAGTCTGTTACTTAAGGATAAAGGCAGTGGTTCTCAACGCTGTCTGTGTATTGGATTCAACAGGGGGAGCTTTTGAAGTATCCATGCTTGGGCCCCTTCTCTCTAGAATTTCTTATTTAATTGATGTGGGATGGTACCTGAGCATACTAAGTAATTTGAGTCTACAGCTAGGGTTAAGAACCACTGTTTTAAAGAACTGGCTTTAGGAGAATCAAAAGGATCCTGGTTGAAAGGTCTGAGATACAAAACGGAGTGGTAAGCAAATAAAATGGTAAGTGGATAAAATTAAACAGACATAGACTGTATAAAATAATGGTCTGATTTTTGATGTTTATTTTTAAAAACCGTATAACATTGTATAGCTAAAATAACGTTTAAGTCACAGGGGGGCTGATGGGAGTTAAAGCATTTGAAGATGCTTTGTGTTGTTCGCCAGGTGGACAGAGAGGTTGATTCTCTTTTGTTAAGTATCCATGATAACATTGAAAGGGGACTGTTAAAGAATAAAAATAGAAAGTTTAACTTCAAAACTAGCAAAGGGGAAATAAATGAACTGTCAGAAATCATCAGTTCAGAAGAAAATAAGAAAGGAGAAAGAAACAAAAAGTGTGGCAAATAGAAGCTACTGAATGAAATGGTAGGATGGCATTCAACTATATTATTAACCCACGATTAAAAAGGACTAATAACTCTAGTTTGTTTATCTAGGGATAGAAGGAGTGAAGGTAAAAAAGAAAAAAGGAAAACCTACACCAGGGAAAAAAAGGAAATAGGTGAAGATAATAATTTCAGATAAAGTTGACTTTATGGCAGAAAGTTTTATTAGAGATAAGGAGAAAGTTTGACTTGCCTGATACAATGTATAGCACACACAAGTCAGAGAGAAATGCCAAATAGGATCTATTGCTATAAACCAGTAATTATAGACACATAAAACAGTAATAGGTACCAAAAGAGTGAGTACTTTATTTCTTGAAACCCCAAGAAGTGTGTCTTTGGTTTTCCCAGCCGCATACATTATTACAAAGAGTCAAAGCCTGCACGACTGAAGAGGATCAGGAAAAGCTGATGCAAATTACAAGCCTGCATTCACTGAATGCCTTTCTGCTACCAATTAAAACTGTGGGTGTGCAGGTGAGTTGTGTGAATTCATTGACCTGTGACATAACTTTCTGCTGCTGTTTCTGCTCATGTTAAAATAGGAATGACTTAGGCAAATGAAATATGAAAGTGTATACACCAAATTTAGATGTAAAAAGGCAAAATTTAAAGAATGTTTATGAAGTGAGTAAGGTAATAGGAATGAAACATACAGACTGAGATTTTGTAGTTTTGAAACATGTCATCTGTAGTTAAAAAGATTCAAAGAATGATTTGCTATAGGATTGGCTTGCTTGCTTCTGCCTTGAAGGACAGGTACCGAGAGGTCATGTCCTCATTTTATCCTTCTTGATATGAAATGGTCTGTGGCTTTAGAAGTCTTTAACTGCAAGAAGGTCCCTGGATGAACACGTTAAACCATTTAGGTCTTGTTCTCAGATTGTGTATTCCTGAAACCAGTGCCCTCTGCCTTTTCATTGTGTCCTTGCTTGCTCTCTTAGCTGTGATAATGTACAGCTAACATTTTCTGTATTTATTGTTGTCTTTCCAGGTGTTAAAGCATGTGAGGATAATATAGTTCTCACTATTGAAATGCTATTCATAAATAGATTATATTAAGTTCTCCTTTATTTATGTGACCCTCAAGTGAGTTTCTGAGGGGGAAGATGCTTGGGAGACGAAGGAAGAGGAAGGTTTCTTTTCTGTGATTTAGAATTTGAAAACTAGAAATGGTGTCAACAATTCAACTCAAAATGGCATGAATGCCAGTTAGTGGGTTGATATGTTTATATTATAATGCTCTCTTATAGTAGAATTATGTGTGGAAAGAAGTTAAATCTGTTTTAGAGATTCATCTGAAACTTGATAAATATACTTTTTCTTAAATATCTGAATCTGAGCCATCCATTTAAATTCCCCCTCCTGAATTCATGTAGCTCTGTCTATAAATAAGACAATAAAAATTCATTGTTTTAAAGTTAAACTAAAATATTTTGGTTTAGGGAAGTGATAGGGCCAGCTATTTTGTTTACAGGACTCTTTCCCCCTCTTTCTTCCCCTTTTTAAAGGCCCTGTGTGTAAGCTACTTACGTTGTTTTTAAATCACTGTTGAAATAACCCTTCCTGGAATTGTAAAAATAATTTTCTTTCAGTGGTGTATAGGTTATCTCATTTATCATAAATTCATTTTGAAGTTCATGATATGAGATTTACAGCCAGAAATTACTCTGGCTGTAAATAGAAGAGCAGATAGGTTGATTTTTTTGTTCTTTCCTTCTTTTTTTCCTCAGTCCTAAATGGATCTATTACAGAGAACTTCCAGCTCTGTATACTGCTAGACAGGGAGTCGAACTGACCTAGTTCTTCACTCCCCTTTTTGGATAAGTGTTGTAGATAATGTCATAGATAAAATGTTTGAGGTAATACAATTGGTTGAATGAGGGACTTCTTTTTCTAAAAAATAAAACTTACTCAATTTCTACTACTTTTCCTTTCAAAATAAAAGTTTCTTTTGTTGTTAGTTATTTAACTTTATCTAGTCTCATAGGCCCTTGAAGCTGAGACCCTTATAAACCCAGATAAAAATCATAATTCATGGTTATGATAGCAGTGAAGTTTATTTTCTAAATATCAAACTGTACTTGTAAAGAAAAAAATTCAAAATGGAATACATTTAAAAAGATTCTCTCTGTTTCTGCTCACCAGTTAAATGTTCTTTCTAGAAACATTTTGGAAAGAAAATGAAAGGGAATTATGGACATATTGTTCATCACTTTTTTCTTTTAACTGAGCACCATGAACTTCTTATCTTTTCATGCCATTACCAGTAGACTCTTACTCTTAACTGCTGCCTTATATTCCATGTATGGTTATACCATAATTTGTTTAACCATTTTCTTACCAACGGACATGTAAATAATTTTTACTTTTTTGCTATTATAGGTGTTTCAGCAAGTAACAAATAAGAAATATCTTATTTCTTCAAGCAGTTACTCATGTGTTTCAGTAATATCTCCTTAATGAAAGAGCATATACATTTTAAACTTCGATAGATACTATTAGCATTAAAATAGTCTGAATTCTCATATTCTCAGTATACTGGGTATTAGGTAGTTATCTAATGACTCTTACTCTTAAGTTGCTTTTCAGTTTAATTTTTATGGCTTTTTTTGTTTTAAAGCAAATTATTTGGATTAAATAGGACAAAGGAAATGAGAATCAGTATTATCAGTTTTATTCACTTCCTTTAAAATTAACTTTCTTTGCTCATTTTAAAGGAATTAATAAGTAAATATGTATGAAATTATTTTTATCTCTGACGTGAAAATCCTTTATCCACCTAATAAACATGCGCAGATCTTGTCTGCCAAATTAAGTGTGCTGGCCACCTACAGTTGGGCAGGTATTTGGAATGAAATCCCAGTGGATCTCTGGTGCATGTTGAATAAATTCTTGAAATTACTTTGACACTTTCTTTATGTCTGAACTGATTTAGATATGATTTACTAGGGGATTTAATTTTAGGATTTATTTATATTATTAGTAAACTATCCACATATACTTTTATTCAAGCATGTTTTTGTTCAAAAGATTTTTTAAATTACTATTAATGGTGTTACCATGCATGAAGTATTTTCCAGTTCACCTTTTGGCTTCTATAAAACCATTAAAAGTGATCAATTATATTTTTATTTTTAGGGTGACTGTCGTTCTTACAGTTACGTGTGTGGAATCTCCAGTAAGGATGAGCCTGACTGGGAATCTCTTATTTTTCTGGCTAGGCTTATACCTCGCATGTGTCACAACATTAACAGGTGTGTTCTGCAGTGGGTGGGGGAGAGATGTAATGGAAGGATGTGTTTTTTTAAGGTCTCCCCACTGTTGAGAGACCAGTGGCTCAAGTGTAGATACAGGTATGTGCTGAGGTCACAATCCAGCAGGTATTTGGTAATACCTTGTATTTTGTTTTCTCATTACAGTGCAGTCATCTGCTTATTAAAATTTTTTGTTGTTTAAGGGAGAAATACAAAAGTCTTGCATTTTGGTACAGTATTAAAAACAGCTTTAAAACATGTCTTCCTGATTAGGAGCTTAGACTACCTATTTGTTTAATGATAACATGTTTTATTCCAGAAGGACTGAAAAAATTATACAGGTTATAGAATTACCATTAGAGACTTGGTCAATTTATTAATAATCCTAGAGTAAATCAAAAGAAAAACATATGCCAGATATCATTAAAATAACTGCATTAAATATATAACTAACTTTGAATTTAGTTTTTCAGATCCAGTTTTCCTTTAATTTGCACATTAATTTCTTTTGTTGGATATATCAACAGCTGATTTATAATCTGTATGTAATGGTTGCATTGTTTCATGTATAGTTAAAAAAATCATACTTGTTTAGTACCAGATGCTAATTAAATGTTCTTATTTCACAGTTGTTTACTCTTTTCTATTTTCTTAATGAGTATCAGGCAGATAACAGCCAAAAAGTATTATTTGAAACTTCAGTTTACTCAAATTAGCTACAGAAATTATAAATCTACCTATTGATGTTCACCTAACAGGGTGTGTATATTTTATACCTGCTGGTACTCACCTAACACGACTGTGTATATTTTATACCTGTCTACTGGTGTGACCTTTAAGACAGAGAGTTAAAGAAAAATCACATTTTTACTGATAGGAACACGCCCTTTAAAAAACTTACTCAGATGAGTCCAAAGCCCTCAGATACAGAAGCTTGTTTAATATACTGAAAAAAGTGAATTATTGATGAATAATGGTAGATTTGTAATTGCCTATTTTGAATGGAGATAACTGTCATGGTTAAAGTAATAGTTCATCATTCATCTTTTGAAAAATGCTACTACCTAAATAAACTTTATAGGTCATACAGAAAGTTCCTTTTCCTTAAGTTTGGCTCCACTGCTTTTACTATATAATTAGTATGTTTTTCATTTCACAACATTCTTATAGTTTCATCTCTCTCTTTTTCTTTTGCTAAAAGTACTCACTCATGCTTATACTTTATCTTTGTCCTTTTATATGCTGGTTTCTTTGCCTATCTTTTCTTTTTTCTCTGTTTGTCTCTCCCTCCTTTCTTAACCCTTCCTTCCTCCCCAAAAGAGAAAAAAAAATGCAGTCTAATAACCAATAAACAAAAAACTAGATTTTAAGATATGAACCTAGCAGGCCATTAAAGAGTCTTGGTGAATTTTCTATTTCTTTGCCAGAGTCCTTTTGGAATTTAAAGAACTTTTTTAAAAATTTTCAATTTTTGCCAGTTTCCCCCTCTAATTCTTATGATTGAATTCTTTGTACAGAGAAGAACTGTTGCAGTTTTATTCTTCTGTACAGTGTGGAAGACTGCCTATCCCTGTACAATCTGTGGTCACTCTTGTTTGAAAGAAATAAGATAAAAAGAACAAGTTCATGGTCTTTTTTTTTTTTTTTTTTTGCCTAGTAGCTTTTTCCTCTAAGGATTTTTTATGAGCTCTAGGAACTGTATTGTTTAAAATTGTGGCTTTCTGTGCATGACACAAAAACCTTCCTGCTGCAATATGTTTGGAAGGAGGCAATGAAGTAGTTGGTGGTAGTGGTGGTTTTGATCTGATGCTGTTTTCTTACGTTTTATTCTAAATACATATTAAGAAAAAAGAAAAAAACATTACTAAACCTCAACTGTGGTAGTTGCAGGGGGGGTTTGTTTTCTCTGCTAAAGACTGGGCTAAGGAAAAGGGACAGTTGCCTGCTGGTTGGATCGGGAAGAGCTAGGTGGCACTCAGTTCTACCCCTGCTGCCTCTTGTTTTCTGAGAGAAGGTTGTGAAACAGTTTGCCCTAACTAGTGGCAAGAGTCCCCTTAAGTTGTAATTATTTGAGTCTAATTTCCTCAAGCTGTCTTTCAAATTGTACTTTTATTAACACCTGCAGTGTATCTTCATATCTTTCAAACAGACTTTTGCTTAAAGCCGTAGTC